GAAAACACCACTCTGTGATCGATCAGAAAAAAATTATGTGTATGTTTTTTTAAAAAATGTTTTTTCTGATCAAAAATTTCGAATCGCTAGCATAGAAAAACCGAATATGGAAGACCTATTCTATAAGCGATTCTTCCTAGCGGCCAATGGCCGGTGATAGTCACTACCGCATATGGAAAATTTGATGCAGTTCAACAGAGCTTCGCTTCTTTAAACGAACCAAACTTCTTCAAAATTGTCATATCGAAAAATATGCTGTTTTATTTCTTTTAGTAATTTACCTATTAAACCAAAATATTTACGTTTCTCCGCGTTAAGTTTCCAGTAACACGTAGTGTCTGGGATGGCTCCCAGATATTTCGCATTGGATGATAAATGAGATTTGTTACCAAGTCCAAAATGAAGGTATCTGGTGTATAACTTAAAGTGGAGTGAATTATCTGTGAATCTTATGAATTCTATGAATATATTGTATTAACGTTTGTCCATATTAAATTAAAGTTTAAGAAGAACTTTTGAGACCAATATTCATATTCCCCTACCCTCTGCCCTATTTCAAAAATTAAATGCCAAGCTCTGAGTTAATGATATTTCCACTGTGAATACAGATCATATTAAAGAACTACCAGAAGGACTTTTTTGCTTAAAAAATCTGAATTGACGCATAATTTGGGCACGCGTAACGAAATGTTTTACTTTTTGTCATGGCATAATTGAGAATCTCCCTTCAGATATGCATATGGCATATATATAAATATTTCCACCACATTTCAAGACACATATGTACATGTCCTCTAAAATACATACATGTAATAAATAAGTAGCTTGAACTGCAAATAAATCCTACCTGTGACATCCGCTTGCCACTTTCCAATTCCAAATAATCTTCTTCGACGCCGTCATCGTCTGCACCACTGCTTTCTATACCAGCGTCATGATTTACTCCTCCACCTGCACCTGCACCCCGTTCATCGGCACGCGCAAGACGGTTTGCTACGCCCACGAGCCGCCGGCGCCGCTCCACTTCATCGACCAAACCAACAGGGTCATCTTCATCACTCACTTCAAAGGAAGACTTGCGGCGCGTTTCTCCCACACTCAAGTGCTCGTCACGCATCATTTCACCAACATGATTGGCTATTAGGCGTTTAC